ACACACACACACACACACACACACACACAGATCGATCAGGTTTCAGTCTACAGTCTCGACAGTAAGCTGAGTTTGAGTGATGGTTTCAGCAGTGACAGTTTTCAGTATAATCATCATCATTAGTGTCATTCGAGCGTTTGAGAGACTGAAGCTTGTGTGTTAGTGTTGTTCACATGAGTGTGTGTTTTTAGGATAAACTATATTCGTAGTCAAGGGTCATGAGTAGGAAGGCTGAGTCTTATCCTGCACCTCAATCTGCATAATATCTGTTGTAAATAGTTCATGAAATTAGAAAAGTGTCCCAGATCGTAATATGGTGAAAATAGAAAGATGAAGATTCCTGGATGGTTTACTTTTTTTCTGGTGGAAGTTTATCTGTGCATTTTTTTGTTGTTGTTGGCTATTATTGCCCTTTTGGCCAAGTAAGTCCAGTTTTTGACAATTCGATTTCACAGAGGAAGAAAAAACTGATTTATGAACAGTAATAAATGAATCTAGATCTATGGTAGGGACCCTTTTAACAGACTGATGACACATTTAAAGACACTGTAAATCTTTTTTTATATATATTTGTATTATTTCTTTATTTAATGTACATTATAACACTATACTTTTTGTTTTATTATCCTAGATAATAAAAAAATTTTTTTTTAAATAATGAGAATAATTTAATTTAATTTAAGATCAGTATTATTTTAGCATTATTGATGTGCTATTATATATTTAATTTAATAGTTTGAATTAGATTTTATTTTGATAATTTTGGCTTTCACTTTAATTTTAACATTTTTGTAATTTTGTTGTGTGTTTTTGTAATTTTCATTAATTGTTTTATATATATATATTCATTATATATATATTCAATATATATTCATTAATTGTAGTTTAATTTATTTTAGTGCTTAAACTAAACAAAAATGAGAAATTACAGAATTTATTTGAAATGGAAATTTGTTTTTAAAATGATTTATGTCTTTGCTGTCATTTTTGTTCTATTTAATGAATCTTTGCTGAATAAAAGTATTTTTTTTATTCAAAATAATAATATTGAAAAAATCTTACTGACCCCAGACGTTTTAGTAGAAATGTATATCTGTGTGTATGTATATGTGACCCTGGACCACAAAACCAGTCATAAGGGTCATTTTTTTTTATTTATGCATCATCTGAAAGCTGAAGCTTTGCATTGATGTATGGTTTGTTAGGATGGGACAATATTTGGCTCAGATACAACTATTTGAATATCTAGAATCTGAGGGTGCAAAAAAAATCGAAATATTGAGAAAATCGCCTTTTATGCATCATCTGAAAGCTGAAGCTTTGCATTGATGTATGGTTTGTTAGGATGGGACAATATTTGGCTCAGATACAACTATTTGAATATCTAGAATCTGAGGGTGCAAAAAAAATCGAAATATTGAGAAAATCGCCTTTAAAGTTTTCCAAATGAAGTCCTTAGCAGTGCATATTACTAATAAAAATTAGCTTTTGATATACGTACTTACGGTAGGAAATTTACAAAATATCTTTATGGAACATGATCTTAATATCCTAAAGATTTTTGTCATAAAAGAAAAATGTATAATTTTGTCCCATGCAATGTATTTTTGGCTATTGCTACAAATATACCCCAGCGACTTAAGACTGGTTTTGTGCTCCAGGGTCACATATGTGTTTGTGTGTGTTCTAGCTGCTTTAGACGATGTGTGTGAATTGGAGGCTGCGCTTCGTCCTGGTCTGGAAGAGATTGAGAACTATCAGAAACTCCTGGAGCTTCAGAAGGATTTGATTGGTGTTGAGCATCTGGCCGTGGCTGGACGTCAGCTCATCAGACTGGGCTGCCTCAGCAAACTCTCTGGGAAAGGCCTTCAACAGCGCATGTTCTTCCTGGTGAGATTTCAGAGCACACATCTATGTTTCATATGATATAGGGACCTATTGTTCTTAAAGGATAGATCAAATTACAATAATGTCATAATTTACTCCCTTCATGTTGTTCCAAACCTGTATGAGTGTTTTTCTTCTGTTGAGCACAAAAGAAGATATTTGGAAGAATGCTGGTAACCAAACAGTTGCTGGTAGCCATTGACTTCCATAGTATTGTTTTCTATACTGTGGAAGTCAGTGGTTACCAGTAACTGTTTGGTTACCAGCATTCTTCCAAATAGCTTCTTTTAAAGAATGCTTGTAATTCTGAAAATTCTAACAATTATATAACTAACTCAAGGCCTAATACTAAACTCTCTTCATATTTTTACACATGAAATGAACAGATTTCTGATGAACTCTTTCTTTCTTTTTTTTATGTGGAGCCAGTTCAATGACGTTCTGTTGTACAGCACTCGAGGGATAACATCAGCCAATCAGTTTACAGTGCACAGACAACTTCCTCTGCGCGGCATGACAGTTAGAAAACTCATCAACCTTTATGCAGATGTTATTGATTGGCATGAGAATCCACCCATGAGAAATCAGTGTGTGTGTGTGTGTGTGTGTTCAGATCCGGGAGAGTGAGGACGAGTGGGGCGTCCCGCACTCCTTCACACTGATGGTACAGCAGCAGTCACTGGTGGTCGCCGCATGGTAATCCTTCGCAATATTTGTGTGTCATCAGCCAGACAGCAAGTACAGCAATAGAGAGCAAGTCAACAGTGCATTCATATTAACTCTGCCCATTGTTTACACACAGCACATTTTCAATTGATCGGTCCAGTACAGCTTTATCAGTGGATGCAAGAGTGTTAGAGGTGCATATATGATGGATGCCTCAAAAGCATCCAGATATCTTGTCTCTTGCAGTTCAGAGTCAGAAATGGAGAAATGGATGGAGGATTTAAAGATGGCGGTTGACATGGCTGAAGAGTGTAATGGACTGACCGCTGACCTGCTGTCTGCTAGCAAGGATGTCAGTAAGTGACACATGATCATTTGTTACAAAATACAGTTACCATAGCATTCAAATAGACCCTGTTGGCTTTCCTAGTACATCTTTATCAAAATATAATATTTCATATATATTGCATTTTTTTGCATATTAAATATCAAATTTCGCTTTGAAATAAGTCGCATTATAAAAGTAAAATGAGTTGCTGTTTCATGAATCTATATTTGTTTTATGATATATATTGTCACATTTTAGAAGTACATTTTAGCATATTTTAAAAAGAGTACTTCTTGTGGCAATAATGTACTTAAAAGAGTATACTTAAAGGGATAGTTCACCCCAAAATGAAAATTCTGTCATTAATTACTCACCCTCATATCGTTCCAAACCTGCAAGACCTTCGTTCATCTTCAGAACACAAATTAAGATATTTGATGTCCCCCTCGAACGTAAACAACGCTGATTACGTTCTTGGGTACTCTCCAAAATGGCGGAAGACGTAACTCAGGGGAGAAGAATTGTTAAATAAATTATGTTATTATTGTTTTCTTTGCGCACAAAAAGTATTCTCGTAGCTTCGCAAAATTGAAGTTGAGCCACTGATGTCACGTGGACTGTTTTATCAATGTGCTTACTATGTTTCTGGACCTGGGAACATTACAGTTGCGTTGCTGTCTATGGAGGGTCAGAGAGCTCTCTGAATTCATCACAAATATCTTAATATTTGTTCTGAAGATGAACGAAGGTCTTGCGGGTTTGGAACGACATGAGGGTGAGTAATTAAAGACAGAATTTTCATTTCTGGGTGAACTATCTCTTTAAGTGAATGCAGTTTTTAAGGACACTTAATTGCATGTTAATTATGAAAATGTATTAGTTTTGATTTATATTAAATGCAATTAGTCAATGTGCTTACTATGTTTCTGGACCTGGGAACATTACAGTTGCGTTGCTGTCTATGGAGGGTCAGAGAGCTCTCTGAATTCATCACAAATATCTTAATATTTGTTCTGAAGATGAACGAAGGTCTTGCGGGTTTGGAACGACATGAGGGTGAGTAATTAAAGACAGAATTTTCATTTCTGGGTGAACTATCTCTTTAAGTGAATGCAGTTTTTAAGGACACTTAATTGCATGTTAATTATGAAAATGTATTAGTTTTGATTTATATTAAATGCAATTAGCTGCACTTTTCAGTGCTTTTATGACCCACTTAAGTTTTGTGTATTTCCATTATTACTTTTATTACTGACAATAATTTTTGTTAAAATTGTCAATCATTTAGCAATTTTGTAGTTTGAAAATAAATTTACTTTTAATATGTGACCCTGGAGCACAAAAGCAGTCTTAAGTCGCTGGGGTATATTTGTAGCAATAGCCAACAATACATTGTATGGGTCAAATTTATAGATTTTTCTTTTATGCCAAAAATCATTAGAATATTAAGTAAAGATTATGTTCCATGAAGATATTTTTTAATTTCCTACCGTAAATATATTAAAACTTAATTTCTGATTAGTAATATGCATTGCTAAGGACTTCATTTGGACAACTTTAAAGGCGATTGTCTCAATAGTATTGAGTATATATATATATATATGAATAAAATAAAATTAATAAAATTATAATATTTCAATTTTTTTTGCACCCTCAGATTCCATACATCAGTGGAAAGCTTATTTATTCAGCTTTCAGATGGTGTATAAATCTCAATTTCTCAAAAATTTACACTTAAGACTGATTTTGTGGTCCAGGGTCACACATGGAATAACACACCATTTACAATTATAATTAAGTACTTTACATGTGCTTTAATATGTTAATTAACACCTCAAAACAAGTGTACTTCTTCAAAGTACAAAAGAATACACACGATTCAAAAGATTATTAAAACATAATCATTTAAAATGTACTTTGAAGTAAAATTTTTAATTTGACATTTTTACAAAGGGCACTTTTTTAAACGTTTACTTTATTTCATTAATATTATATTATCTGCAACTACAGTTTTTTTTTAAACAAATGTATTTATTAAAGGTCTGAAGTGCACATTCAATACAATTAAGTGCATTTCTTTTTCACATGTTCTTCCACAGTATATCAGCTGCTTAATCAGGAACATACAGAAGTCTATAGGAGTCCGAATATGTAACAATTGCTAACAAAAGTTTAGGGAGCATATAGTAGCATGTTTTAGCACAATTACGTGTCTCAAGATACAGTAAATGTTTTTCTCAGAATCCTCAGGGGCGTCTGAAGTGGAGTCAGAGGATGATCTTTGTGGATCTCGAACATCTTTGCCTCGAAATGGCAACAATTCAGGAAACACTCTCAACCGCGGCAACACGACAGCACACGTGTGCTGGCATCGCACCACCAGTGTTTCCATGCTGGACTTCAGCATCGCCATAGAGGTACCAGTCCTCCATCTGCTCATCTCTGTGTTTGAGTATGAAAATGCTGTAACACAGTCTGGTCGTCATCTTGACTGTGTCTGACAGAACCAGCTCTCAGGAAATCTGCTCCGAAAGTTTAAAAACAGTAACGGCTGGCAGAAACTCTGGGTGGTTTTCACCAACTTCACCTTGTTCTTCTACAAAGCACACGAGGTAAAACGCAAACAGTCACACACTGCCATATCCTCTGTGAATGTGTGGGATGTGTGTGAAATGTCTGGACTCGCGCTCATTTCTCTGTTGACTGTTCTCTCTGTAAGGATGAGTATCCGCTGGCCAGTCTGCCGTTGTTGGGTTACTCCGTAACACAGGCCGGCGAGTCGGAAAACATCCATAAAGATCACGTCTTCAAACTGCATTTCAAATCTCATATCTACTACTTCAGAACGGAGAGTGAATACTTTTTCGAAAGGTACTGCAAACCGCATTATTCTTCCAAGAGATATAGTACACCTTGCAAACTACACTGAAAAAAGATACTTTGGATCAACTAAAAAATACTTTCAAATACTCAGTTTCTTAAAGACAAAATAAATTGTTTTTCTCAAATTATATTGAAATTCTAAATTATATTTAAATATATTTAAAGTTCAATTTTGATTTAAATCATTTTTTTCCACCGAAAGACGATACACTCTTAAAAATGCTGGGTTAAATACAACCCAGCACCGGGTAAAATGTGGACAAACCCAGGGATTGGGTTGTTTTCAACCAACGGTTGGGTTAAATGTTTAACTCAACCTTCTGCGCAGTAACCCAACCGCTGGGTCAAAACAGCCCAATCCCTGGGTTTGTCCACATTTTACCCGGTGCTGGGTTGTATTTAACCCTAACCTATAATATGTGTTGTGGCAAACTGTTGGTTGCTCACCAGTGAGAGAACACCACCAGGTGAAGTTAATCTATTAATTAGCAGGGCAGAACAGACTCCGGCTGTGTCCGAAATCGCCCCCTATACCCTTAAATAGGGCACTATTTGAGGGAACAGCCATTTTTAGTGGTGTCCGAAACCATAGTGGACGTTCTCGAGTGCACTCATTCAATCCCACAATGCAATCCCACAAGGGTTTTTTTTAGGTTTAAGCCTAGTCCCAGACTAAAATGTAAGTCTGAGCTGTAAGAGCTGTAAGCCGAAAGAAACTTGCACTGATTGATCTTAAAATATGTCAGTGCCCTTGTTTTGTCTCAAGGTGCACACCAGTAATGTTTTTTCTAAGGCATAATTATAAAAATTACTTTAAAGGGGTCATATGATGCGATTTCAATTCTTTTTTTTTTGTAATTTCACAGTTGTAATACGTGAAAGCGCCGCTTTTCTATCGCGAATATGCCGAATCTGCTGATTTAATTGCGACCGCTAATGATAGAGAAGGGGAGGGGGAGGCCAGGGGAGCGCGGAGCTCTCGTGCCTCTGTTGGTAAAAAAAAAATTGCCAATCAGAGTATTCACTTTCAGCGCTGAGGAGTGTTGAGAAAAGAAACCTCGTAAGGGAGGCTAGCCTCCTTCTGATATCAACCAATCATCACAGAGATGTAAATTACGTGATATTAGTTTGAACGCCTCCCGCTGCGCTGATAATGTACCAAGTACTTATGATGAGTAACGATATTGAATATTTGATCGCCAACAGATTTACCAAGCTGTCATTCAAACAGTATATATACAAATTTAGGGAGGTAAGTGAAATTATATTATCTTGCTGTATGTGTGTCGTTTTCTTTACGTTTTCTGACTAAAAGCATCCAAAAAGCCATTTTAAAGTGGTTCAGCAAATTATAATAATAATAATTTTCAGGGATCCCAGACCAATACAATTAGTGTGCCTCCTCTATTTTAAAACCCAGTAGAGGAGAAACAATAATGTACAGAGGAGAAACAATAATGTACAGTATGTGGAAAATAATGTGTCTTTTTACCTTAACATAAACACTTCACATTACACCATTACACATTACACATTCACAGTAACATCATATGACCCCTTTAAAATCCTAATTGAACTATGGCCTAGTCCTGGCTTAAGCTGAGCCCCGTCTGTGAAACCGGGCCTTAATGTTATAAAGTGTTGATGTATAGTAAGATTTTGATGTCTGTGTAGATGGATGACGGTGATCAGAAGTGCTACAGTCTCTGCCAGCAGAACCCGCTATCTGAACCGGACCGAACCGGACTGAACCTGCCATGTGAACCAGGCTGATCCTGAAACTGCCATCTGACCTGGACAGAAAAAAACATAAACCCACAGACCCATGCAGGCATATAGGGAGCAACCATCTCCGTGTGTGTGTACTTTTATGACAACGTCACTTTTTTTTAGTGACTGACTTTTTTTAATAGCATTGTTTCATAGTATGACATTAAAGGGGAATGTCGCCATTTCACTTCTGAGCCTTTTAATAGACGCTCTTCAGTTCAAATATCAGCCTCGGGCAAGTTTAGTTTTTTTTCCTATTATTGTATTTTTGCTGAATTACTTGTAAGAAACAGAGAGAATATGTAAGGTGCTTAAACTGCATCCGTGACATTTAAAGTTTTATTTTAAAGGAGAAAATCAGAGAGTAAAACAGCAAATGATAAAAGATTTCACACACCTGGAGAAGTACAGAGATCACCATTGTGCCCTTAAGGACAGGTGCTCCTGGTGAGATTTCGGATAAAAGGTGCTTACAAATCCTTAGGGAGATATTCACAAAAACTGCATTGTGTTTCATAAAATGGCCTCAGATATTGAAAGGTGCTACTGTGTGTTCACAGGACGTGTTAGTGTTGGGTGTGAATAGGACATAAGGTTAACTGAGGTTTATTATAAGGTATATTTATAGCATGTGATGACATACTAAAGTCTTTATCTTGAGAAACTAAAAGGAAAAGTGTTAATAAAGGCTCAGAGATGAAGAGAGGTGGAATTCCCCTTTAACCTCATGGTGTTCCCCACACACAGGTGCTTTTTAATGTTTGTGTTTTGTCCTCTAGTGTAAAAAAACATGAAACATGGGCTTTTACAGAATCTCATTTTGTAAATGATATTTAATTGTAAGCCGTAAGTGTCACTTGTTGCCTTTAAAAGGAGGCAGATTCATTTCAGTGCCATGGTTTTTATAGTACAGGTTTCTATGTGTTAGACTTTGTTTCTATCAGCTGAAACCATGTTGGGTGCCAGAAGCCAATGTGCCAAAATCATTCTGTTTGTTAACATTTTGGACTGAATAATGTAAAAGCATTGCAAATTTGGGATTTAAAGGCAAGTTATAAAACACACAAGTACATTTCGTCAACCGAAACTTATATTTATAGAGTTCAAGTGCCATTAAGAGCAGAACACACAAAAGGTATTTTACACTACGTTTATTTCCGTCAGCATGTAACACTTGGTAATGAAGAAAGGATATTTTGTTATTCAAGGTTGTAAGAAGATTGACGCCCCTCACTGTCATTTTAGAAAAATTATTTTCACCAAACTAAGAAGCATTCACCCATAGGCCGCACCGTATAAACCACAACTGCATATTACAGGCTAGTTTAGTCCACAGAAGAGGTCAAGCTTTAAAATGTGCAGAAAGACGTGATGTTTTAGTTTCATACGGCCCAAACACTACTAAAATGAATGGAAAAAGACAAAGAGAGAGACAGTTTATTGGAAATGAAAGCAATAAAAGCTCATTCCAGAAAGCGGCTGACTTCTGTGGTCTTTCTGCATTGCACTGATCAGCAGAGGGCGATACTACATCACCAGTGTGAGGCCATTAACCAATAGAAAATCAAGAGTTACAGGCCTATACACACATATGCAATAAAATACAATAATATGTGATATTTTAGTGTATATGGGTGATTCTGTTTGGTTATCATGGAAGTGAGAGGGAATCGTTTCTGCCGCCAGAGTAGCAGGGAGACGTTTTGGAGTTTAGAAAATGAATGAATGAATGAACTAACGGAGGAACCACTGTATTTAAAAAAAATATGTAAATAGCTTAATAAGAATAACAATAATCAAAAATAATGTTTTGAATGTCACATTTCATTCCTTCTTTATTTGACCCTCTAACTCTAGCACTCTCTATTCTAATTCTATTCTTTAAAAAAAAGAAAAAGGAAGCTTGCCCCTTTTAGACTTGCACTCTATTCAGTTACTAACTGCTTGTTTTTTTTGTTTGTTTGTTTTTTAACACTAGCTTCTCTATTCTTTTTCTATTCTATCTGTTTTCTATTTTATTTATTATATAATTTAAAAAACACTAGCTCCTCTATTGTTTTTGTATTCTATCTAGGCTATCTGTTTTCTTTTTATTTATTATATAATTAACAAAAAGCAAAAAAAAGGGCCTCAAACACTACCTTCTCTATTCTTTTTCTATTCTATCTGTTTTCTATTTTATTTATTTTATAATTAACAAAAAGCAAAAAAAAGGGCCTCTAACACTAGCTTGCTCTATTCTTTTTCTATTCTATCTGTTTTCTATTTTATTTATTTTATAATTAACAAAAAGCAAAAAAAAGGGCCTCTAACACTAGCTTGCTCTATTCTTTTTCTATTCTATCTGTTTTCTATTTTATTTATTATATAATTAACAAAAAGCAAAAAAAAGGGCCTCAAACACTACCTTCTCTATTCTTTTTCTATTCTATCTGTTTTCTATTTTATTTATTATATAATTAAAAAAAACACTAGCTCCTCTATTCTTTTTGTATTCTATCTATTCTATCTGTTTTCTCTTTATTTATTATACAATTAAGGCCTCTAACACTAGCTTGCTCTATATTCATTCTTTTAAACGCAATCTTTTTCTCATTTTTTTGAACGCTATTTTAAAACACCATTACTAAACCACTCAACAGAACATTTTCATTCTTTTTACTCTCTTCAGAGATGGGAAATATGGTCACACTCATCTCTGAGCCTTTTATTTATATATAATCACTATTATAGCCTATTAAAAAATATAAACATTATACCGAAATAAAACAGTATATCAAATTAAAATATTGATAGGCCTATTAAAATATTAATATATTTTTTCCTTTATTTGAGAGATGTTTTAACACCTTTAGCAAACCACTCAGCAGCCTATTTAGTGAATTTGAATTCAGAAACAATCCATTATTAATATGTTTTCTTGTAAAAAGGTAAGATATTTATAAAAGGATCAAATAAATAAATAAGTTAGGTAGTTTGAGGGTAGTTAGAATGAAGGTGGTGTGTTCACACTTGCCATCTGCTGCTCTTACTAGAGAGGATTTGCTTACAGTCTCTTGCGGCGTGTAAAGCGGAGCTCGAATGAGATTTCACACACAGGTATGGCCCTCCCGCGGAGATTGACCCCATTATATTACTGCTGGCCCCTCAGAACACAGCACAGACTGATGCTCCTTTGAGAAGAGGACGTGAAACCATAAGTACGGTTACATTTCTGAAAGTTATTTGACTTGTGAAATTACGTAAACCATGCACTTTGTAGTTTGTAGGCTATATGTATTTACTTAAATACCAGTCGCGAATGAACGATTCCTACTATGGCGAACTCTTAGCTCATTAATATGAATAGAATTGCCGGTTCATGAATAATGAATACAGTTCTTGGAACCTTCCCGTGGCTACTGGTGGAGTTCGGCTTTGCTCATGAATATTAAGCAGCAAGACTTGGCCGTAGTAGAGCTCGTAAAGTCGCTATCTGGACAGGGGAGGGAGTAGAGACGCGACGGAATTAAACCTCCCACAAACACACTGACATGAGACCATGACAGCACGGGAAAGCGTTTCGTTTAGACCGCCAACACCTTCTGGAGACTTTAAAGCACTGGAAACATGGACTAACGCATCCATCGCGTTCATCTGAACATGAGAGTTAAGGATTTTTATATCACAGGCGCTCGCAAAGGTAGTCGGGACAGCGGAGAAAACAGACTTTGAATGTTTTTAATTGATTTATTTACACGTCTGCTGGAAATTAATGAAAGTTTGTAGCTAGACATGTCAGTCCCGAGCCATGTGGAGACGCGTAAGTTCACCCGGGGGCTCGGTAAACCGGGCACGGCGGCGGAGCTGCGGCAGAGCGTGTCGGAGGCGGTCAGGACGTCGGTTTTAGTGGTGAGTAAGTTATCCCGTTTGTGATGTGGTGTAGCGGTTAAGAATTAGAACTTATTACTGCAGGTTGCGGGTTCGAACTCGGTCATATGCGAGCTCGAGGTAAGGTGCTTAACCTCAGTTTACTGCAAGACACTGACCAAGTGAAACTTTGTATACAAATCAGGCAAAGGCTGATTCATCTGTATGCTATTGTAACTTGTTGGTTTTATGTAATTTTTGTGTCTCAGACCTAATGTAGATAAATAGTCTCGGAGTCAAATCAGGCTTCAGGTGGCTGATTGTTTAGCCTAATATTATACAGTTTTTCTTATTAATTAATGCCATGGTTCCCAACCCTGGTCCTGGAGGCACCCCAACACTGCACATTTTGCATGTCTCCTTTCTCTGACACACCAGTTTCTGGTCTTGGAGTCTCTACTAATGAGCTGATGAGCTGAATCAGGTGTGTTTGATTAAGGAGACATGCAAAACGTGCAGTGTTGGGGTGCCTCCAGGACCAGGGTTGGGAGGTTGGGAATTAATGGACAGTTAATAGACTGCACAAGTATTTTTGTAGGAAGAAGCAATATGTGCTTTGTTGTTTGTGTGTGTGTATGTATGTGTAATGTTGTCCTGAATGATGGATCCAACTTTCCTTGCCCATTGTTTGGAAACGTGCAGTGTTGGGGTGCCTCCAGGACCAGGGTTGGGAACCACTGAATTAATGGACAGTTAATAGACTGCACAAGTATTTTTGTAGGAAGAAGCAATATGTGCTTTGTTGTTTGTGTGTGTGTATGTATGTGTAATGTTGTCCTGAATGATGGATCCAACTTTCCTTGCCCATTGTTTGGATACTGGCAGGTCACGTTAGTCAAGCTTAGTTGACTCTCAGCTGATCCACGTCTACCTATAGGTCAGGGGTGCCCAACCCTGCTCCTGGCGATCCACTGTCCTGCCAAGTTTAGCTCCAACTCTAATCAAACACACCTGCCTTTAATTTTTAAATGATCCTGAAGACCTTAATTAGTTGCTTCAGGTGTGTTTGATTAGGGATCCACTGTCCTGCAAAGTTTAGCTCCAACTCTAATCAAACACACCTGCCTTTAATTTTTAAATGATCCTGAAGACCTTAATTAGTTGCTTCAGGTGTGTTTGATTAGGGTTGGAGCTGAACTTTGCAGGACAGTCGATCGCCAGGAGCAGGGTTGGCACCCCTGACCTATAGGGATGTGACATCTATCACAGCACCCATATATTAGGGTGAACATGCGAGCCATTTTCCCAGGACGTGTCCTGGCCAGGATTTCTATATTGCCTAAAATATCTAGGTTTTGACTTTGTTTGCGTGTGCAGACCGATCGGTGTATGACATCAAAGCACCCTACCATATATAAGATCCTTCAGGATTATCACCAGCTTTTGCATGGCTCAATAGCTAATGACCCTCCTACATCCCCAGCTCCTCCTTGTTCAGTCAGGATTTGGCCTTCTGATTCTACTTTGATATATGCATATATATATGCTATATGCAATACATTTATGTTTGTTCTGTTCTGTTACCCCAGGTGGTTTATTGCTGCTCTCCCTGCTCTCATCCATGCTAGGCTGCATGGATGCACAGGGAGTTCTTGCCCAGAACAGAACCATACCACCAATCCAAACTTTATGCTAATTGTCAGTCATCTTTGACGTTAGTGGCCCTGACAGAAATGGACTTCATCCAATTTGTTGACAGGGAAAGAGAGTCAGAAACACACATAGTGACGCCTTGGTGTGATTTATTATTTCTGTACTAGAGAGGCAGTGTATTTCTGGAAGGCTGTGTGAGTGAACATCTCTCCCTCACAATCCAAACAGTGTGATTTAGTGGATCTGGATTGGTAATTAAAGGCGTTTGGTTTAAATCCCACATGGGTTGAGCCATGAACTGTCACCTGTATGCCCTTGAGTAAGACTCTTAACCTCACGGGACTGACCCTGTGCTGTAAGTCGCTTTGGATAAAAGCATCCGCTGAATGACTACTTAATTACTCAGCATTCTTGCACATTTCAGGTGTTCCCTTTGGACGTTTTCAAAAGGAAGTGATTTGAGTCCAGACTTGTGTGAATGAGTCATTGAAACCCAGGTTTTGTTGTATAAAACCACAGGCTGTTTAAGGCTGTGTGCCGAATAGCATACTACTGTACCTACTGTTTATGCAGTATGCATACTGTGCACAGAATGTACAGTTTCTGTAAACATGGAATAACATTTGCCAAAATTTGATGTATACAGTAGAGCACAGTGAGTGAAATATCAACCTGATCCAGGAAGGGCTTGGAAATCTGAAGAAAACGTAATTATTTAATGATGTGGCCATTTCGTTTGAATTTGTACGGAAATTTATGGTTTTTCTAAGCATGAATGTCCACTACCTAATTCTAACCATCAGTGGGGCGTAAGCAGATCGTATTTAAACATGTATGAGACTGTACAAATTAATGTGAATTACTATTTTAGCCAAAATGTAAAATAGTTATGAAATGCCATGAAAGTGTGTTTGAAATATTGTATCCCACAATGCATTGGTCTCAACTTGACTTTCCATTTCCAGAGAGATGAAAGAACCAGAAGTAATATCCAATTTTCAATAATTGTCATATATTATTGATAAACAATAATAACTTTTTGATTCACATACTATTTCAAATATATGGCAGTATACAGTGTACACTGCACAGTAAGAAGTATGCTTCCATTCTTCCATTCTGAACACAGCCTGTGAGAGTTCAATCCCAGAATGCTCTGGCTGTGAGGTCTGAATCTGAGGATCAGAACTGTCAGAATGAACTCTCAATGAAGCATATGGTAGGCCAAGAATGTGTGTGTAACTTCAGTGAGCTCACACACACTTGCATTCCTGCATTATACATGTAAATATAATGAAATGCGACTGTGTTTGTAGAATAATGGATAGATTGTGTCACGTTTGTATGGTTTGTGCTCTGACAGGCCTCTGAACACAAATGGATTGGGCGTTGGGGTCGAGGGAGACCCACAGATATGTGTTTAGGCGTGTAAACTGTAAGTATGGTCACATGCAATTTGCATTTCTTCTTGAATCCACTCCGGACTATGGGATGAATTTCAAAAACAAGATTGTGAAATCCTCCTCTGAGATGTCTTCAAGTAGATATAATTAGTTTTGTGTGTCATACATGAAGCACAAAAGAGGATTTTTACATTTTCTGAAGAAAATGTGTGTGGTGTGTGCTTGTGCAAATCTCAGTTATTGTGGGTGATTGCTAGGTTGCTATTGAATATATTGCTTTTGACTTAAAGGCTCAAGTCAAAAGAATAAAATAATCTAGTCTTTACATATGGCTCAGCTTCCTTTTACAATGTCAGTCTATGCCCATTCTACCCTTTATCAACCACCAGATAAACATCAAGTATTATTGCTTAGAAAAGTAACAATACAAAAAAAAAGTGTCTTGAGGTATCATTTATGTCCATAGCACTAAGAATGCAAGAAAGCCAATGTTCAATACTTCAAGGGTTTGTTCAAAAACTAGTTCTGCGTATTATCAATAGAGTTGCACAAATTTAAATTGCGAATTGAAAATATGGCTAATGGAAACGCATCAATTTCGCAGAAACACCCATACATCGCAAAAAAAAAATGTTATGCTTGCATGAGGTGGTTTTTCAGCCAATTCAAAAAGCAAGATTTTGCAAAACTGCAATGGAAATGTTTTTGTTTTTTCGCATTTTTAGGTCACATGGCATACGAAAAAGTCATGATCATTCTTCAATGTACTATAACCTCCAAGAAACACTTCATATGTGGCCCCTCTCAAGTATAAGGGCTTTCCTTGCCGTTAATGCTTAGACAATTTACACTGCACACATCTGCGGCAAGTTATGGCTCTGACACAGCCGTCGGAGCTGATCTAATCAATGCTTGTGTATACCAGCCACGCCACACGGCATGTTTCAGAAGCGGCTCTCCACGCTGCTACTGTAAAGACACACGCATATGCCTCCTTCAATTAAATATAATGGCTAGCGCAGTGGCTGTGATATACGTAGGCCTAACCCTACCAAAATCCATGGGGAAAGGAAAAAATAACATTGCATAACATCGGTTAATGGAAATATAATACTTTTTTTTTTATCAACATTTATAAAATATCGCTAAAGTTTTGTGCAAATCTGTAATGGAAACACAGCTAGTGCCCATCCAGAAGTATTTTTCCCATTCATTTTCCTAATTAGTCTTATTGGCTTTAATGAGGGACATGAAGCATTGCAAAGACATAATCAAATATGGAGAAATATAAAAATAGAAGAAAACTGCTACTGTAAAGACACACGCATATGCCTCCTTCAATTAAATATAATGGCTAGCGCAGTGGCTGCGATATACGTAGGCCTAACCCTACCAAAATCCATGGGGAAAGGAAAAAATAACATTGCATAACATCGGTTAATGGAAATGCAATACTTTTTTTTTTTATCAACATTTATAAAATATCGCTAAAGTTTTGTGCAAATCTGTAATGGAAACACAGCTAGTGCCCATCCAGAAGTATTTTTCCCATTCATTTTCCTAATTAGTCTTATTGGCTTTAATGAGGGACATGAAGCATTGCAAAGACATAATCAAATATGGAGAAATATAAAAATAGAAGAAAAAGAAGTTCATTATAAATAAATGCATACACATACATACGAGTGTGTGTGTGTGTGTAATTTGCAGTGCTTTAATGTAAGTGGGTGGGCGCTGGGGAACTCTTTTGCTGTGATTTGTTTGCAGCGATTGGTGGAGATTTCTTTGCTGAATCATTGGTAATGTATTTTTTCACCATGAAATTCCATTTGTGATACACAATTGTTTAAAAAGCAAGCCTAAATAATGCAGACCAATGGTTTAAACAAAAACATATCATCGATTAACAACCTTGCAGCTCCAAGTAGGTCTATCTTGTAATCATTATAAATGAATGGGATTTGACTTCTGGAACCTGACTGTTGT